TGGCCCCCGGACAACAGCAGTGGTGCTAGAGCTGCCAACTCGGGGAGGTGGCATGATACGGGCGCTGACTGCCTCGGATCCCGATTGGGCGCCCATCCGCTTTCAATTCTTCACGGAGGATCTGAACGATCCCTCAAGATACTGCACCGCCGAGGGGCAGATTCGTCCGGACTTTACTGGGGGAACTGTTGAGTGTAAGAGAGAGGATATTTTAAAGGAGGAAAAAAAGTCCATCATATTAAAATCCCTTGTTCCCCGAGCACTTAAAATGCACACGGATCGTCTACTTGTTAGGCCTCTCATGGGCAGGGTTATTGTACCAGAGTTCTTGTCAGGTGTATGCGCTCAGTTTACAATACCCAGCTCCCACCAAATAGAGGGTGTGACCGGTGCGGACATGTACCTGTATGTCTCCGCTGCCCCTGTAAAGGGTTCCGCTCTTGCGTGGGCTACTTCATGCTCTGCATTACCCGATGGGCGTCCTGTTGTTGGTGTGGTGAATTATGGCCCGAGCTCTGTCACTGATTCGGAGTACAGTGTTCGTGTTGTAGTACATGAGATTGGACATGCTCTTGGGTTTGCTGTGGAGATAATGGAAGAACGCAATATGTTAAAAGAGGTTAAGGGTGTACGTGGCAAGGCAAAGGTGCTTCAGGTGTCGTCACCCAAGACGGTGGAAAAGACTCGCGAGCACTTCAACTGCGTGAATGCTACCGGCATGGAGCTGGAGGACGAGGGTGGGGAAAGGACAGCATCGTCGCATTGGAAGAGACGCAACGCAAAGGACGAGCTGATGGCTGGGAATGAAGGAATCGGGTACTACACTGCTTTGACAATGGCTGCTTTTGAGGACACCGGTTTTTATAGGGCAAATTGGGGAAAGGAGGAACCGATGTCATGGGGCAACAACTCCGGCTGCGCGCTGCTGACGGAGAAATGCGTGATAAATGGCGTCACCAAGTATCCAGAGATGTTTTGCACCGCTGAAAGCCGCCTTTTTTCATGCACGTCTGATCGCCTGGGGCTGGGGCACTGTACAATAGAACTCTACGACGCTCCCCTTCCCCCACAATATCAGTACTTTTCGAATCCCAAACTTGGCGGTTCGCCCGGTTTTTTTATGGACTTCTGCCCTTACATTGAAGCGTATTTCAACACTTGGTGCACTGATGGGGAGGCAGACGTTATGCGTGGGAGCCGCGTTGGCCCGACGTCCAAGTGCTTGAAAGGGGATGGACTCGCCGATTTCATGGGTCGTATTGGTGACGTGTGCGCTGAGGTGTCGTGTGACAAGGGCGAGGTGAGCGTGCGGTACCTTGGAGATGATGCGTGGCACAAATGCCCGGAGGGCAGCAGTATTACACCAACTGGGCTGTTCACGGGAGGGAGGATTTTGTGTCCAAAGTACGACGATGTATGTATTGTCTTCAATACAATTAATGGAACTGGAGACGTGAGCAGTTTGCTGTCAGCTTTTCCCCCGATTCCATTGGTTATGCTGGTTCTTATTTTTATTTCAATGTGTTAATGATTTTGTAAAAAGAAACGCGTGTTGTAATCGTTAAATTGTAAATGTGCCAGTTGTTGGTCAGTACTGTTAATTTATCATGTTTAATTATTTTTAATTCCTTACGGGTACATTTGTCCCCAATTGAAAGGAGATGCTTTGATAGTAATATATATATGTGCGGTCCTGAGCGGCCTCTATTTTTTCTCTGCTATTTATTTCAGGTCAAACTAGTATTTTTCCAAATTGAACCGGATCTTGCGTCAAGAACGCAAAAGAAGCAGCGCGTGTGTGAAGCAGCATTTATAGAAAAGAAGCCATTTGCATTGTTGGAGCGTAGTTTTTTTTTTTTTTTTTTTTGAATTTGTTTGTCATTTTCCGTTTTTTTTTTTTTTTCTTTTTTTGGTTTTTTTTTTTTTAAATGGTTGTGAGAGGAATGGTGTGAACGGAGGTGTGTCTGGAGGAACACCCAATAATAATTTCTTGTAGGAGCTTGTGAGGAGAATGAACGCGAGGAAGCTTGGTTGTCTGGATTAATATATCCTCCTGATAAAACGAATATATTTATTTACGATAATTGCCCATCTTTTGAAAGCTCTGCAACACCGCGATGGAAGGAGTCGAGGAATCGATAACGGCAAGGCGAATGTCCTTTCATTTTTTGCTTTCCCACTCATCCTCTTTTGATTCCTACCTCGCGACGGGGTCTTGTGGTTGGATGAGCACAAATTTTTCCACTTTGTAATGAATAAACATCATCAATCTGAATAGACCGCACCGTGTCAGGAGAGTGACTTCCCCAATATACATGTATTTACTTGGAGCAAACATTGAGGATGTGGCAAATCCGCTGCCTCTCCATTTACCCCTTTTCCCCGTCTTGCTTGATTTCTTTAGATAATTTTAGGATTCGTCCAGCGGTCCAGGCGATTATTTTCCCCTATCTATTCTTTTGAGGCCTAGCGCAAAGAATATTTATTGAGGGAGGAATTTATGGGTGGATTCATGGCTCGGACGGCATTCACGAGACACACACGCCCACAACCACATTCTCTGAGGCTGTGTGTCCAACGACACTTTGTTTTTGCCCAGCGAATTACCCGCCATTGAGCCACCACGTGGGCGGCGTTCTCACCATTAGCGGGCGGTGGGCTTGTTGCAAGGCGGGGCCAAGACAAAGGGATGAATTGCACCTCGTTGCGACACTCTGTCGCTGCCATCACCGCTCCGAGGAACCCTGAGTCCATTCGAGCCTCTCTGAAGAGGAAGAAGCACACCGCTGTTTGGAGCAATTGGGCGGCACTTGAAGGAAGGCGGTTGGCGCTGCACTGGCCCATATGAGTGTGCTTGGTCTCAGTTGGAGGCTAAAAAATATTGGCGTGCAGCTCAGATGCCCACGCGCGGTTCCATGCGGTGCGTATTGGATTGGCGCCGACGCAAGAGCCGTCCACATCCATCAATGGAACGGCAACTTGGCGCGCATCAGCACTCAGCCAGGCGCGTCACAAGTCTCCACCGCTTCTGCCTCGGGAAGTTGGAATGCTTCCCATACGCCAGAGACAATCGGAAGATCATGCAGATTCATGAGGCGCCAGGGGAATTAGAGCTGTCGCTCGGCCCACGGGGCACACAGGGGCCCAGGCG